CCATTCAGCCAGAGTGCTGCCTTCCCTCCCCAGACAGGCCAGTCCCATATTCCAGAGCTGTAGTAGTCACAGGACTGACCCTTTGGTGATCCTGGAGCAGCTGCCCCAAAGGGCCAATCCTGTGGCTACTACAACTCTGGAATATGGGACTGGCTTTCCCACCACCATCAGTCTGCCCATCTTCATTTTCCTTCACTCAGATTGACCAAGCTTCTTGAGAGAATGAACACAAAAGAGGTTCCTGGAAGGCTATGTGTTTGGAGTAGGTGCTTTCTCTTGGGCCTCCTACCTGGAGGCCAAAAGAAAGTGTCTGGTCCGGACACACAGCACCCCAGGGTCAAGCTAGGTTGATGCTCTTTTTAGGTAAGTTTGACCTTAACTTTATTTTCTTTGACTGTAATATTTAATGGCATCAAATAATTTGATTTTGACAACTATCACTTCTTGTTTGGTTTTAGTTTCGAATGGTTTCCATCATGAGTGAAAAAAAAGCAAAGGAATATTTTGCATTTCTTTAGCAATACAAAAGATAATGTTACTAACGATAATAGTAAAAACAACAACATGTGTACTTCACTTAACTGTGAGCTGATCAATGAATCAGAGCCTCCACAGTCCTCATCAGGCACCATTAGGAAGAACATTCAAATTGGAGGTGGAAAGAAGAAAAAACTCAAAGTATCAAGAAAATACGATTCGGACTACTTGAAATTTGGATTTATACAAGAACCTGGTAGTGAGCTAGATCCATGGCCGCTTTGTGTTGTGTGTTTTGAGAGTTTATCCAATGAAGGCATGAAGCCTTTGAAACTCAGAAGACACTTGCAAACAAAACACCCAGATTTAGCCAACAAACCATTTGAATATTTTCAAAGAATGCGTGAAAATATGCAAAAGCAAGTAATTGCTTTAACAAAAATTCACAGTTGAAGATATGTCCTTATTAAAGGCTTCTTTTCTGATAGCACTTCAGATTGCAAAAAATAAAAAGCCATATACAATTGAAGAAGATTTAATTAAGCCTTGCATGTTACAAGCCTGTGAAGAGGTTTTGGGAAAGCAGGCTGTCCAGAAACAGAAAGCAATTCCTATGCCCACTAACACTGTCAAGCTCAGAATTGAAGACATGGCTGAAGATATTGAAAATCAGGTTATAATAATGGTGAAAAATGCACCATTTTATACAATTCAACTTGATGAATCAACAGACATAAGTAACAAGGCACTTCTTTGTTTTGTGAGGATTGAGCGTGAAGGAGAGTTACAGGTAGAACTACTTTGCTCGCTCAACTTGCCAGGTAGAACAACTAGCTCTGAGATTTTTGAAGCACTGAATAGTTATTTCCTTGAACACAGAATTGAATGGAAAAAATGTATTGGGATGTTGTGGCTCCGAGTCCTGAGCCTGCATTCTTGGAGGAGGAGGACTCGGAAGATGAGGAAGAGGAATTGGGAATGCCTTCCTCCCCAGGACCTTCCTCTTCGGCAATGCCTTCCTCCCTGATTATGCCTCAGGTTTCAGCAGATAACCGAGAGGGACAGCCTGAGGCTAATCAGGAGGAGGAAGGCATATCGGAGCAGCCTCTGACAGAGAATCAAGTAGACAAATGCTGGCTTGATGCTAGGCAGCGTCGCAGGAAGAAGTGTGAGCTGCAGCGTAGGAGGCGTGGACGAATCAGAGTGAGCTGACTCATGGAGACACACCCCACAGGGGATAAAAGTGGGTGTGTTTTCTCTGGAAACTCTGTATGGGACAAAGTGTGAATTTTCTGTCAAGCTTCGGTGTATCTTGTTTCTTGAAAGCTTTTGTGATTAATGTTTCTGGTTATCTTGTCGGACTTGGCCGGCAGCGTTTGTGATACTGCCAAGAACATTGCCTGCTTAAAGGAATTAACTCTGTAAATACTGAATCTTCTTGCCTGCCTGTATTTTGTCAGAGTTTGGACTTTTCATCTTCCTTGGAAAGGTGAGACATAACATTGGGATATGTACAGACAGTGCTGCAAACATGATTGGACATCTTTCAGGAATTGTTGCAAAGGTGAAAAAAATTGGTCACCCAGACATTTTGTCAACACACTGCATTATCGTGAGCAACTTGCAGCAAAAAAAATGTCCCCAGAACTGCACGAAGTGTTATGTTATTAAAATTGTAAATGAAATTTGACACAAAGCACTCAATTCTCGAATGTTTGAGGCACTTCGTGAAGAAATGGGTTCCAAGTATACTTATCTTCTTCACACTGAGGTGAGATGGCTGTCAAGGGGCAAAATACTAACCCAACTGTTCACCCTGCGCGAAGAAGTGAAAGTATTTTTCTACCAGAAAAATAATCCAAAATGTCAAGAACTCTTGTCCAACGATGGGTAGCCAAGCTTCCATACATGGTAGATATTTTTTCGTTGTTAAATGAACTAAACTTATCTTTGCAAGGACAATTTCAGGACGTGTTCAAACTATGAGGTAAAATGGATGCTTTTCAAAATAAAATATTACTGTGGCAAAAGCGGTTGGCTGAAGACCTGCACATTTTCAAATTTTGATGAGTATATGAGAGAAAAAGATGTCAACTGGCAGGTGGTAACCATCGTTCAACAGCACTTACAGTCACTCACAGAATCTTTTGTTCGTCATTACCCAAAGAAAGATCCCAGACATGGCAATATGTGGATAATAGTATGAGTTTGGTGGTCCCTGAGGTCCAAAAGGTTGGTGACCCCTGGTCTAGGGTGCACAGGTGCTCACTTACCATTTTCTTCCCTATTTTAACTTGTGTTGCTAATCTGTTTTTTGTGGTGCTGTTTTTGATAGGGTGGAGTGTTTTTTCCCTTTGTGAAAAGATGGATGCAAAAAACGAGTTAAGTAGTTCTGCTTTCTCCCTGCTGCTTGTCACCTTCTTGCCACTTTCTCCCAGCAATGGATCAATCATTTCCTTGACTTTTTTTCTTGTTTTTAACATGTTGAAAGAAGTTTTTTTTTGTTATTTTTGACTTTTGTCGCAAGCCTTAGTTCATTTTGAGCCTTAGTTTTCCTCACTTCATCTTTGCAAGCTTGGCCTATTTGCTGATATTCTATTATATGCCCCTCTTTCCACTTTTTATACTTGTCCTTTTTGTCTTTCAATTTATCAGAGTTCTTTATGCAGCCATGCTGGTTTCTTTTGAGAGCCGTTATTTTCCCCAAGCTCTAAGTTTATTGAAATTAGCTCTCTTAAATTCTAAGACTCTAGTTTGACTTTGTTTTATTGCTTGTGCTTGCATAATGTTGAATTCCAATATTGCATGATCACTGACCCCCAAGGTTCCTGACACCTTCTATCATTTAATCTCTGTTAGTGAGAATTAAGTCCAATATGGCTGATCCCCTTGTTCCCTTCTCTACTTTTGGGGAGACAAAGTTGCCTAAGTTTGTCAGGAACCTGTTTGAATTTCCACTTGGTGCAGTTTGTCTCCCAGTTGACGTCAGGGTAGTTAAAGTCCCCCATTACTATTGTGATGTGCTTCCTACATACATTAGTTAACTGACTAGCAAAAAGTCCATCTATTTCCTGTTTGGTTGGGTTGGGTTCCTGTTTGGTATACGGCTGAAAACGGAGTGGCTGAAAGAAGGAATGGTATGATGCAGACCATGAAGGATTCATTGCTTCCTGATGCAGGCATGAGTACAGTATACTGGGGGGAAGCCATGAAGACAGTAAATTATATAATTAACAGGATATGGAGTGTGGCGATAAAGGAAACACCATATTTCTTATTGCATGGAAAGAAACCCTCCTTGGCTCATCTAAGGACATTTGGCAGTTATGCCTGAGTGCATATTCTAAAAGGCACCAGGAGAAAAGGACAAAAAGGGCCAGGAAGCTTAGGTTTGTTGGGTATGAGCCAGGATCCAAAGGGTATAGGTTTACAGATGGAACTAGAAAGGTAGTGATTTCAAGATCTGCTAGTTTTACTGAGCAGAACAATGGGATAGGGTGCATGCTAATCATGAGGTGTTCATGCCAATGCATAGCACTAGTTTACCAGAAGGCAGCTTGATAAAGGAGAGACAGCACTTGGTGCCTTTTTGGTGCACACATGCTCCCTTTTTGGCACTTGGTGCTGAAAAAGTTAACCACCACTGCCCAAAAGCATTTCAGACAAATGCATTGGTATATCTGATACAACTCTGTGGGTTGTTAATTGCTTAATGTTTTACATGGATATTGTTTGATGGTTTTTTATTTATTCCACTGAAGAGATACCCAGGTACCTACTGTATAGGATTTTTAAGTAACATATAAAGATCAGGATAATGAGAGGGCTACTTCCAACTCTAAAACCAAGATATACTACATACAGCTGTCAGTCAAGTCCATAGATGTAATTCCCAAACACTCAGTACAGAGATGAGGACCATCAAAACCCAGAAGCCTAACTGCTATTCTCTTCCCTTGAACAATGGGGATTCCAAAACACCATCAGAATCAGCTAACCAGTGATTTGTTCCCTACAATCTGGCTGCAGACTAAGCAGTGGGGGGGGAGTGGGGGAGGCAGAGTTCCTGGAAATTCTATAGTCTAAAAAATATAACTGAGGGTGTTTGGGATTTCTGGGTGAAGACCCAGTATTTTATTTATTTACAGGACATATATGGCCACCTGTCTCGTATGACAATTCTAGGCACCTCACAACAATCCATTAAAAAAAGTTAAAAACAAAAATGTCTTTCCCCCAGGTACCAACCAATTATCCTCACATCTCAACTCATATCCTAACCCAATGCTTAGGGGAAGAGCCAGGTGTTCATAGCTCTCTGGAAGGCTAACAGGGTAGGATCTCAGATGGAAATATCTCCTAAGAGCAGCAATTCGGTTAGATTAAAAAATTAATATAACCTCTGAACTGATCAAGGAGAGGACTGATACACCAACTTAGTAAACAGCAGGTTCTGGTGTAATGCTGTAATTTATTAGAAGAGTCCCGAAGGTATAGTACTTTCTATAATAACCTCCCCATACCTTGTATAATCTCTGTTCTTCTGGCGGTCTCTTAAGAATTCCCTCCACAATTCTTTTCAGCTCATACACTGTACTGGACTCCTTGGCATCTGTGAAGATAGTTGTCTTGTGATGTCGGATCATTAGAAAGACATCCTGTTGAATAGACCAGTTCATAATATTAGGCAATCTGTAGCATTCATAATTTTATCCAAACAAGCCATCACTATCAACAGGGTGGATAAAAATCATTTAATTTTTTTTTAAAAAATGGGTTTTTATTTAAATCAGATTTTTAAAATTTTAAATTGGATTTTTTAAAATCAAATTTATTTCAAGAAAATGCTTTTGGAGTAAAAATCTATCTAAAGATAGTTTTCTATTTAAGATACGTTAATAATTTAGTTTATTCAGCATGAAATGGAGCTTAGTTATGTAACATAAGGCTGTATATTCTGCAATATTACATTTTTTGTAAACTCATTCAATGAATCCAAGCTTTGCAAGCTGAGGTAACATGCACTGCATTGATGCATTTACACAATTTCACAGTAACCATGAGATAAATCATAAAACAAAGTTCAGGAATATTCCTTTATCCCATTTTTTTTTTTTGCAAATCTATGTACACTACAAACTGTATGATTCTTTGAAGAGAAATGCATCAGGCTCAAAGTGAGGATGTCATTACCCTGTTGGAATCTGATTCGAGGGGGAGGCCGAACAGCTGACAGGGAGTGGGGGGGTGTCTCCATTGGCTGTGGAAGAAACTGGGGAAGGGCTGGACAGAGCAGGGGAGAGGTAGAGCAAGGCAGAGGGAATTCAGAAGAAGAACCAGGCCCAGCCCCTCTTCATCCTAGGGCATGCAGGGAGGAACGGAGAAGGGAGCAACATGAGTTGCGTGACTTATGGGGGGAGGAAAGGGCCCTGATTCCCTTTATTAGCTGCAGCTGGGAACACAGTGTTTATAAAGGGAGTTTGCGCACAGCAATTTGTTGGAAACAAAAATGTATTGTTTTGTCGAGGCTTATCTGGGTTCCTGGCGTCTTCCCAACTGTGTGTTTTGTTGGCCTTTGAAGTCTGCAATTCCTTATCCTGCCCTGTCCAGTTAATTGCTGCAGCGTGGTTTGTGTGGATTTTTATTTACAGTTTATATGTACTTTGTTTTTGGACTGAATTTCCTCCACTTAAAGACTGTTCTTGGGAGAGTTTTTTCTCCAGCTGAAGGTAACTGGACATTGGGGGCAAAGTTGGAGGTATTAAAGGGACTTTTCTTACTTATGTGACTGTGCTGCCTTTGTCACGTCCCGGGTCATCACAGAGGAGGAAGGGCAAGCAGTAAAAATGAAAGTGAAACCTTCTCAGCAGCTTATAAACCAGTGGTGGCTAACCTTTTTGGGCTCCCGTGCCAGCACCCAGAAGGCAATGCGCATGGCCCCGCCCATGCCCCCTGTGCATGTGCAAGTGACACCCCCATGTGCATGTCTGCACATGCGTGTGCAATCCCCACACTATGGGTCTCTGCGAATGTGCGCAAGACCCCCACGTGTGCCACATGTCTCCTGCACATGCACGCATGTCCTGTGCACCCCGCCCCCCATGCATGCATGCCAGATACTGGACAATCATGTGGTGGGCAGGTGGCATGCGCGCATGCATGCGCAGTAGGGCTCTTCCGGGTGGTCTCTCGCGTGCCGGCAGAAGTGGCTCTGCGTGCCACTTCCAGCACACATGCCATATGTTTGCCATCATGGTTATAAACTTTGTGATCTTTCTGCACATAGTTTGAAGTGCTTTATTCCTCCCTTGAGGAGCAAAATGGCAGCAGGCCGTAAAAGAGACCCAGTTTGGGAATATTTTAATGAAGTTCCTCTACCTACTGGTAAAGCAGGTATTTATGTAAAATGCGAGCAATGCAACAAAGAGATGTAAGACCTGGTTGTCTGAATGAAACAACAGCATGAGAAGTGGTGTGATGAAAGGACCATGTTTGAAGAGGCAGGACCTTCAGGTTGGTAAACTGTTTTTAGGGGAATCGTGCATGCATGCGCAGGCGCGCAACGCATGGCAAGGGGAATCACGTGCTCATGCACAGGCACACGGCAAGGGGAATCACACGTGCAGGTGCAGCGGGTGTGGGGAGGGACCAGCACACATTGCCTTCTGGGTGCTGGCATGCGAGCGTGCACGCATGAGCGCAATTATCAGCACGGGAGCCGAAAAAGGTTTGCCACCACTGACCTAAAAGAAAGAAACCATCTGGAACCACCACCATAGATAAGTTTGTGATAAAAAACAGATTAGAAAAAGTTAATTGATGAAAAAATTGCTCAGTTTGTTTATGCAACAAACTCTTTTTTCCGTCTGCTTGAAAACCCACACTTTGTTTATATGATTCAATCACTGAGACTAGGATATGATGGGCTGTCTGCTAAACTAAAGTAAGGTCTTGCCACACACTTGAAAATAAATTGGGAAGCCTGTAATTGTGGAATCTGTCTGACAAGAACAAAGACTGCTTATTCACAGGAAATATGCACATGTAAAGCTTGTAACAATTCTAGGTAGTTAGAAAGCTGATAAAAGTAACAAAGAGTTAGGCATCTTGCAGACCTCAGCTAGAAGTTAGGAATAGAGATGGCTTGGAGCAAATAGAATGTGTATTAGATAACTCCTGGAGCATTCATTAGCCAAGGCTTAGGAATAGGGATGGCTAGAAACCAATAGAAAAAAATTGTAGAATTATTACTAAAATGTTTATTAGATTATATTTCTTATTATCCTGCCTTGTCCCACCTTCTCTAGTGAAAAATGTATACAGCTTTCTTAATCCTTTGTTCTTGGCATTTTGGCCAGGAGCCTTTTTTCATGGAGTACTCCAATAAAAAGCAATCAAAACTTGCATCTCGTGTCTGGCGTCCTTCATTGGCCTCGCCACCAGGCTCAGACCTGAATTGTTGCAGGGAAACTGCTGGATAAAGTATATGATGAAGAAATTATGCAATGTGCAACAAGTCTAGAAGGTAAAATTGTTAACCTAAGTCTTGATGAGTGGAATAATGTCCACAATGGTCCTACTGTATGTGCTTGTATAACAGCAAAAGAAGGGAATGTATTCCTTGAAGAAACAATTGATACTTCAGGAAATGCACACACAGCAGCATACTTAGAAATAGCAGCAGCAGAGGGCGGGGCTTGAGCGGCAGCGAAAAGATGGTTTTCTTGGGGCTCCAAGAAAGCTGATACCCCCGCAGCTAGACGGTCCCAGAGGACCCAAACCGTCCTGGTGAGACGGTAAGTGATAGGAGCGCATCCTGTTGATCCCAGGGACATCACAAAGTCCCTGGTAGATCCAGGAAAGCTCCTACAGCCCAGCAGTGGTGGGAAGCAGCCATTTATCTTGAGCCGCTAAGAAGCTGTGCCAGCTTCGGAACGGAAGAAAGAAAGAAAGAAGAAGGTGAGTCGGTTTGGGTGAGAAATTTTTATTTTTTAAAAAAAGTAGATAAAGGAGTACACCAAATAAAAGAATTATTAAAGAAAGACAGAAGACAGGAAAGTTAAGGATAGCGGCGAACGGCAAGGAACTGTCAATTTTATTTGGATTTTTTATTCTTTGGGGAAAAAAATGATTACTTTGTCTTGCTTCTTTGTTTAAATAACTGGACTGAACTTAAAAATAAGAAGAAATTGAACCTTTTTTGCTTTCTTAGTTTAAATAGTTTAAATTTCAGAGAAGTACTTTTTCTTTTTCTCTCGATTCTTTTTTTACTTTCACTGCTTAGAGCACAGAGATACAATGTAACTAAGGAACAACTATAAGGAAAGCTAAGCAATACTGCCATCTGGAGGCCACAGGGAAAATCTTTTTCTTAAAAATAACAGACTGTAAAGATTAAGCTATTTTGACTACAGAGAAATGGAGAAAGATAATAAGTCAGCACTGAAAACAGGTGTTGCCTCTAAATAGCTGGTATACATTTGGAAACTTGAATAAGAGAAAGAGAAAGAGAAAGAAAGAACACTGTGACCTTGAATAAGATATATGCTTTTGACTCTGGCTTTCTGGACTGACTGTTACACTGAGATTTTGGTTTACTTAGTGAAATGGATTTATAAATTACAGCTGGTACCTTCCATTTTTTTGTTTTTGTTTTGTTCTTTATTCTATTTTTGCTGGAGTGTACATTGGATTTATTTTCTCCTTTTCTTTTCTTTTCCTGGGCTTATTTTACTTTTTGGCCCAGTTTTTTTAATGTGGATTATTTTTGGAATGTTGGTTTATTTTTTTTCTATTTTTTTCCTTTTCCACTTTTTCTTTTTTTCTTCACTGATAGCTTGACTAATAAGTGGATTAACAAGTGGATATAATTTGGCATCTTTGGATTCTATTTTTATCTTTTGCTGCTTTTTTTCTGTTATTCCCTTTTCCTCTCCTCTTCTATGTAGAAGTGGATGGATTTGTATTTTTTTTCTTAGTTGGGGGGGGGGGGAAATCTTTTTGTTTTTCTTTCCTTCTTCATATATGACTCTTTGAATTTTATATATTTTTACAACATTTCTTTTTGGGATTTATAGTTTCCTTTTCTGTTTTTGGATCTTTCAACTCCATTATTTTTTTTCTTCTTCTGGATAAAATTGGATTAAGGTAGAGAAGAACCTCAAGATTTACTTCTATTTGGGGGGGGGGGGGCTTTTGCAAATGAATTATAAATTGATCAGATATGAGTAAGAGAATTCCTACTGGATCATCAATTCCTACTTCCTCATCCCTGAGCCCAGCTGCTCAATGATCTATTACAACGATGTTGCGGCAGGAGAAAGATAAAGAAAAGGAGACCTCTATGCAAGAAATTAAGTCAATGTTTCAAGTAATACAAGACCAAGGGAAGTGTACAGAGGATAGAATGGAAAAGCTGGAGGAAAGGATGGAGAAGATGGAAGGAGATATAGAACAGGTATTAATGATATATGGAGAAAAAATACACAAGATGGAAGAAAGAGGTGACAAAACAGATAAGAAAGTAGGAGAAATAGATAATAGACTGACAATGGTCGAAAGCGAAAAAGGGAAAGATTCAATATTCTGGGAGATGGAAAAGGCTGATTTCTACTTAAGATTTCAAAATATTGAGGAAGAAAAAGGAGAAAACCTTAAA